CACCCTAAAGCATATCTTCTTTAACCTATGGGCAACAGGGAGCCATTGGAGGGGTTAAAGAATAGAACAGCAAGGCCAGAGTTTCACACTGAGACTCCCAGAAGCAGGTTTGGGACAGGAAGATGAGGTTACAAGTTGATATGTGTTGTGAGGGCACTTTAGAGCAATGATTGCATTGTACTATTATTAGCCATTATATTCCCTGACGCATATAGTGATTTTGAAGTTCAGAAATTCAACATTACTGGCCAAATCAACCTTAAGTATATAGTTAAATATATTCCAGAAAGTACATTATGCCTTCCTGTCAAGTCTGCCTGTTCATCTCTCTATTTTACTTTTGTAGTGGGAAAACAAAGTGAAGATACACTGCAGATTACAGCAACACAGGGGATAGGAGAAGCAAGTGGATTAGGACCCAGGTGCATGGAGCAGGTATGCCTGACAGATATGTAAGGAATGGTGGTATAGAGCATGAATCAGAGGAAGGGGTTGAGACCTAGTTCTATTATTCACTATTCACATGAAATTTAAAGCATTAATTGATTTCTTTGAACCCTTGTCTTTTCATCTTTAAAATAGGATACTGATTCCTGCCGTATTTTATACGTTTTCCATGAGAATCTGTTGAAGATAGTAACTTGACAACAATTGCTCAATTTATGCATTCTTTAAAAGTCAAGGTATTCATGAAGAGTACCAATAGAAAGAAATCATAAAACAATTAATTATATTACAATTGAGTCTCCAAAATGCCCTAAGTACAAGCATGAATTCTAGAAATCATCTTACTATCTTCAGGTTTTCTCCTGTCTGATCTGTTTTCCATTCTAAATTGGTATACAAGTATAAGAATTTACTTTTTGGATTAAATTTACCATTCTGAATATTATACAGTGATCATTTTCTCCAAAGGAAAACCCTCAGAACTAAGGGGATAGACATACACGAAGGAAAAAACTTGGTTGGCCAATGCACACTGTGTGTGTGTGTGTGTGTGTGTGTGTGTGTGTGTGTTAGTGATAATAACTTAATACCAAGGAAAGAGAATTTCAGGTGGAATCATATCATTTTACTTAGCTATTTAAGTTTATACTTAACTATAAGTTTACTTAACTATTGTAATTGGTTTATAAAATTATATTATAAGATAAAGGTCGATCCACAGATGTTGCCTTACTTATAAATATTCCTTCAACATTCATTCCCCAAATCCTTTGTAATGCATTATTGGATGTTTCCTGGGAGGATACACTGGCAACATTAGAATTGTGACCTCAATTTCTGGGCTATTTCAGGGAACTGAAATGTATACCTTTAGACCTAAACAGGATGAAAAGGGTTGTTGGAAAAAGGGAAATCACACAAAAAATTTATTTTTCTTTTTGTTCTTACAATCCCAAGATTTGAAATTCCAACTACTGCACCATGTTCCTGGCCAGTAGATGGCTCTCTGTTTTTTTTAAACCAGTGTGCTGTCCAATGTACTGAATTGAGCAATTCAGAGTGACCTGTATCATTCAGGATGATTGTAGTAATGATACTTGTGACAGGTAGTTATGGGAGTAACAACTGTAGATTTGAAGTTACTTATTCTCTAGTTAAGCAAAACTAGAATGGAGAGATATCTTGAATCTTTCTAGTGGATTTTTTTTCATAATTGAGTTGCAAGCTTATTGAAGTCTCTTGTGCTTGCATGTCTACACAGGACTTTGCTTCTGCCCTCAGTTCCCATCCATATTTCAAGTTGCTGGTAAAGCTGTGTTAGAACCAAATTGCATGACTGTAGGCAATGCCTACAAAGCTCAATGAATAACACACTTTATCAATGCCTTTTAGGCCTGTTAAACAACCAACCCAAGAAAAGACTGGGCTCACTTTATTTCATACAAATAAATTTACATCTTGTTCCAATCCACATTAAATAAGTTATTTGATATCATATATATTCATAAGATGCTAGTTAGAGGGAGAGTTATAGAAAATTGATTAAGGAGTAAACTTATAACTTAGGAATATACAGTGGGGCATCTAAAAAAAGTAGAAGCATAATATTGTGATGAATTAGAGATTATATTTAGAGGACACACTATTTCAGTGATTTAAAGATAATGGTTAATTTGTCAGAGAAAATAGGAACAACAGCTCTGACATTATGTTAAAACTACAAAATGTTTAAATCAGAAGGCAGCTAGCCTTGCTCTCTAGGGAAAACCTCCTAAAGTCTAAATCTCAGTTTCCCAATTTGAGAAGTGATGAAAATATAATCTTAGAGTTTTGTTGAATGGTTAAACTCTGTGAGGTAATGCAGGTTAACTTTCATGTAAATTATAAGGTAAAATAGCACTTTTAATGCCAAAGCTCCTTTTCTAGTTACCAGACTCCATGGATTCTTACTTATTCCCCCTTCACTTTGTAGAAAAGGAAATTGCTGTATTTCATATTATTTTTGACAAGCAGTTGTTTGTGAAGTTTGGGCTGCTTTAACTGTCACCTTTGCTTATTTTTCACTTGCTCTTTGCTCTATCTAGAGTCAAGTGTTCAGTCCCTCACCCCTCCAAAAGCTGGTGACAATTATGTGGAAAGAACCGAGAAATAAAAGCCTTTGTTATACTGAGTTATTAAGGAAAAAAAACTTTTATTTTAACAAGAGCAAAAAGGCATCATTGTTGCTATTGGTCACTGTCCAGAGAGAGCTTGGGAATATTTTAATTACAATGAACTTCTATTGTAGCAGTGTTCATTTTAATGAGATGACTCTGGTCTTATCTTCCCTGAAATATTGTCACATTTTGTCCTCTCCTTTTCTCCCTTTTCAGACTTAGTAAAACACATTTGGGGGAGTATTTTTTGAATGTGGGCACTGTGAATGATTAATAAAGGATGTGTAAAAGCATAGTCCTCCTTTGTCATTTGTCTCCCTAATAATATTGCAAATACAGGAAAACCAGAAAATCTTAAGTCGCTTAGAAATGAAATTTTAGAAAAATGGATGAGAGACATAACTTTCAAGATAGTGATAACATATGACTGAAAATAGATTGGGAAGCATTGACACAAACTACTTCATTCTGAGTAGACCAAGAAATAGCATCTATAGGGGAAAGAGTCAGTGCCGACCAGATTAGATGTGATAACAAAGAAAAAAACCTGTTATGTCTAAATTCCAAGTGTCTTGCTCAGTGCCAGGAATAGAGAAATCACCTTACGATGGGTACAATAGGAGTTATGCTTCAAGGTGGTACCATGATTCCTCATTTCATCTTCAGCCTCTTGTGACATGCATGGCTAGGGGGAGGCTGACAATATAAGATACATGTTGAAGAAAGCACTGGCTCAGAAGTCATCACAGGAAGAAGTCCTGTGTCATTCTTAGGATTGCTGATTTTTTTTTTGTATCAGGGATTGAACCCCATGGGTGCTTAACCACTAAGCCACATCCTCAGCCCTTTTTAATATCTTATTTAAAGACAGAGTCTCACTGAGTTGCTTAGGGCCTCACTAAGTTGCTGAGGCTGCCTTTGAACTCATGATCTTCCTGACTCAGACTTTCCAGCTGCTGGCATTATAGGCATTCGCCACCGCATCCAACTAGAATCATTGGATTTTGAGATAGGAATTTTGAAGTTTTTAACTCTCTAAGAAAGTCAAATACAACTAAATCCATTTCTCCAATTACATTTCTTACATTTATACATGTAAGTACATGTATAAATTTTTACAGTTTACAGAGTGGCTTTGTGTATTTGTTTACATCAACGAGTGCCTGTGGTCCTCAGTGCATCACATTGTGAGGTAAAAGCATGATTTCCTATTCTGAAGGTATTTAAATCCTGAGGAGGTCTGAGGCATGTAAACAACCAACTACAATATTATGGAGGCTCAGGGAGGCATCAACAGAGGATGTGAAAGTAATGGATAGTAGGGAACTACAGGTGACATCTGTTATTTTGTCTATATTCTTTTCTTTGGGAAATTGCTACTTTCTTTCACCTAAGATCCCCATGTGACTATCAAAGGGCACTACTTCTCTTCCCTGCCCTAGACATGTTCACGTGAATCAAGGTGGCAAATCAGAATGTGCTATCCTTCTAACCATTATGAGTGGTCACAAGGTGAGATCTTATTGGCCATACTGAGGAGTTTGCTCAATATTCTAAGAGCAGTGGAAAGCCATCAATGTAGTTAGCAGGACAAGACATCTGTTCTCTGTAAGGGAATCTCTGACTCCAGTTTTGTGATCAAAATAGAGAAGAGCCGGAGAGGATACCCAGAAGCCAGCTGCGAGGTTGTGGCAGCAGTACAGAGAATGGCAGCCTGGATGGGCAGCAGCGAAATGGCAGACAGGTGGCCAGAAGGAGACATGTTTAGATGGTGATGAAGTAAATGTGAGACTGTGGACAAAGCAGAGGGGTTGGCAAGGATAAATGTAGGTGTCTGGCATGAATAACCAGCTAGGTGGTGAGGTTCTGGAACAGGACTAGGATTTCCTTTTCTGAAAAAAATCTTCTGAAATTACAGTCTATAATATTCACTGCTTCCACCACTACCACCAACCCCGACGCGTTTTTTCCCTTGACATCCTCTTCTTTTTTGATTTGAATTATGTTTAACTGTTTAACTTCCCACCTCCTACCCTTTAGTTCTTTTCTATTTTTTCTTTGCTGGATTCTTTTTATTCCTCTATTATTTTTCTAAAATTTTTTTTAGTAATTATGAATATCATCTGTTGCACTAGAATCCCCAACCATCTCTCCAGCTGTGACCTTGTTCTCCAACTTAAGACTTGAGTTGCACATTACTTAGTAGACGTTTCCTGGTGGCCATCACATTTAAACTTTGAAAGTCAGTTGACAAAACTAAACTGTTGTCAAGACCTAAGAATTCTACCCTTGTCTTCGTGAGGAGCCAATCAGATCCAAGTAGGGTCACTTGAAACCCCCTTTAAGGTAAGTATTTGCATGTTTGAAGAGAGAACTTCTCTGCCCTTCTGAGGGCCCAGTCTGATGCTGCTGGTGGCTATTTTTTTTCTTACATCTGAAGAAAAACTTTAGAAAATGTAATTGCTCCAAAAGAAGAGCCAAGAAATGAAGAGAAAATTCATAAACAACTGGACTTATCTATGTGAAAGCAAGTCAACTTCTGGTAATTTTTTAAATTTATATTTGCTAATATATTTCATATTTACTTGGTTGGTTTTGAATTGTGTTTCTGTCATTTGTAATCAGAAGGATGGTGGAATGTGATGGACATGATTATCCAAAGTACATGTATGAAGACATGAATTACTGTGAACATATTTTATAAACAACGAGAGATATGAAAATTTGTGCTCTATATGTATAATAAGAATTGTAATGCATTCCGTTGTTGTTTATTAAAGAAACAATTAAAAAAAGAAAGAAAGAGTTCTGAATAAAACAGAAACTCAATTCTTTTGAATCAGTGCCTTAATTTTATATCTCTGCTAATCATCAGTTTACCTACCATCAAAGAATTCTCTGTGTATAACAATTAGGAAAATGCAGTGATTGGTTCAATAGTTTGCTTCTTCAGTTCTTTGAAACATTGAAGAGGCTACTGGTTATTCTGTACTTGTCTCCCTTACATTTTACCATTTCTTTACAGAGCTCTAAAATATTGTGAATATTAGGCTGTTTGGAAATCCCCACCATCACAGTATAAATCTCATCAGAATATTTTGTACTTTTCCAAACAGGGATTCCTTTCTCTGACGTTGTGGGTTTTCAAGATGTCACTGGCATTTATGAGGATATATTCTCATACTGAGTAATATATTCTCAATTATTCAGTAGCTGGGTTTGAACTCAGATCTTCCTGACTCCATAGCTGCTACTCACAACAGTGTCATCCTTAAGAACATAACGTGTGCTTTGCAAAGATTAAATAATGCTTTTGCTGGCTACAAAGTGTTTGAATTATCTGTCCTGGTGCAAGAGTTTCCACATGGCTCTTTCTTTTGAATTGTGTTTGCCTTTTAGTATTTTTCCTCTATTTTATCCTTATTATTAGAATGAGAAGTATAACTCTTTGCTGTTATAAGTGGGAGTAAAATAGGCCCTCTGTTTCTTGGTTGCTTCTTATCTGCTTAAATGCTAAATAAATGTGCTGGGATAAATGATCTCAGGCCTTTGTGTAGCCATGTGGAGACAATAATGATCATGATGATATTAATACAGTAATCACTCATTAAGTATCTTCTAAGAGATACCAGATGTGGTCTACTTACTCCTTACAACTTTTAGATTTTTCTATTGTTTGCTCAGGACTTTTCCCCTTTCTTTTCTAGGTCTCAGGTAAATTTCAAACACGTGATATTAACTGATAAATAATACCATCTTAAGTGAGCTGCTTAGACATACACAAACACACCCATACACATGTACATTCACCCATAGACATACCCAAATATGGGCAAAGAAAGATGTCTATCAACACACAAATGAATAAAAAAATAATTGTGGCACATATACAATGGAATTTTACTCAGTCATAAAGAATGGAATTATGGCATTTGCTGCTACATGGATAAAACTGGAGAACATCATGCTAAGTGAAATAAACCAGACCCAGAAATTCAAGCATTGATTTGCTGTCTAATGCAGAAACTAGACCAACTAAGGATGGGGGAGTAAGCAGGGGCAGGGGAATCCCATGAAAAAACATATCAATGAGGTAAAGAAAAGAGATTGAGAGGGAGGAAGGAGGGACATGAAAAAATGGAACAATGGAATGAAACTGACAAAATATTCTATAAACACACATGAATATCCTTAGTGAACTTTATCTTTATGCATGTCTGTAATGCACTAATTTAAAATAAGTAAATAGAAGAAAGCCTGGTAGAACAGAGAAAGGAGAATGGACAGGGAGGAGAGAAAAGAAAAGGGAAGTACTGGGGACTGAATTGCAGCAAATTATATTCCATGTTTGTATAATTATGTCAAAATGAACCCCAACATATGTATAACTGTAATGCATTACTAAAAAAATAAAAATAAATATTGACAAGGATAAAGATGGGAATGAGAAAAATCCAGGATGGTGATGTGCCAAGGGTGCCTTTGATAGAGTCACAATATGCTGGTTTAGAAATAATTTAACTACTTCCATTAATTGCCAGAAGGATTGAAGGCATCTTATTAATTCATGTGATTACTCATTATTATGCATCCTCAGTGCCTAAAGCTACAAAAGATAGGAAGTTTATCTTTAAACAAATGCTTCTCAATTATACCAGCACCAATGTGTGTTGCTGTAATAGTTCCCTTGGTGCCATTAGGTGGCTAATCTGTAGAATATGAGTACACAATTTAAAGCACAAGGCTACCTGATAAATCTAGGAAAGTTTTTCACTGTAAATGTATTCTTAGTAAAGTGTATTCTTTTGCTTAAATATTCCCATCTGAGAAACATTAATAGGAAGTTTTGTACATTTACCTAAATGCAAAGTAAGGGAATGGATTTTGATATTTGTCTAATTTTCAAAAAATAATCGGCGGGGGAGAGAGGAAGCCTGCAGGTACAACTCAGAGGTAGTGAGGTAGCGAGCATGCTTAGTATATGCAAGACACAGGGTTCAATTCCGCCCCCCCCAAAAATGTTTACCTAATACTTTTCTCCTTTCTGCTTACTGAGTTCCAAACAGAAAACTGAGATTGGTTTTTTAGAAGGAGACAGGATGTACTAGCAAGATAGACTCATTTATTTGTTTTGATTTGGTTTTGGAGAAAGTTGTTTTAGTGACTTGTATGTCATGATCCATGTGAATTTTCTCTGAGCCAAGTAGGCATGTCATGTGAATGTGTGTGCATCATGCATATGTGCTTGTGATGAAGCTAGAGACTTCCTACACAAATGCTGAGATCACTGAACTTTACAAATGTGATTCAAGTTCATATTTAGATCTGAAAGTATCTAATAGAGAGTTAATATTTAGTGATGTATATTTTATGGATTATTTTCTTTTGCCTTTTAGGAAGCAAAAGAAAGGTTTTAATGAAGAAGACTGCACCTTGGGAAGGTAAACGACTACAATAAGGATTAGCAAGTAAGCCTTAAGTATTTTAATTAAAAGACTCCATATATTACTATTTGGATACTTTGAGAGGAGTGCTTATAAGAGAAAGAAAGACCTTAAAGTAAACTATTCCAACTCTTTTTAGGTGCTTCAGTTTATTCTCATGATATCCCTTCTACCAGTAAGCATCTGCCCTGCTTCAAGGAGACAATTTATTATCACTTAGTTTAATTTGTCTACTTCCAGTATTCTTGGAGCTTTTGACCAATTTTTTGAGTTTCTTACATTTATATCCTATTCCATCCTGAATACCTTGTTTTAAGATCTATTAATGACTATAATCAACAGTCTTACTATTAATTGTAGTATATCAAAAAATTCAGTTCTTCCACTTGCCATGAGATTCATACTGTGAGGGTGTGATTTTTAGAATCCCAATTCTCAGGAGAACAATACCTGAAGAGATGCTGAAGGTTGGAATTTGGAGTTTCATACTCATCAATAGAATCAATTGCAAGTGATGTCACCAATGGTAGCTGTTTGAATAGGACGCTACTTGCTGAACTAACTAAACTGAATCGTGAGAACTGTGGTGAAGAACTACACCTTTAGGAAAACAAACTGATGTGACACAACCTTGTTTTATATCATCTTCATGTCTGGGGTGACTGTTCACTCTTTGGCGGAAGAATGTGTTTACGGTTGCTGACATGGCCTCCATCCATGCTTTAATTGATTTTCCTTAGAAAGCTTTCACTGTTTTTCTCTCAGGTAATTCCATTATACATCACTTTCCACCCTAGAGGGAATGAACTCATTTTGGGAGGGAAAACTCCCAAACTATAACTAAGAATTAGATTCTGGAATAAGAACTGTGGCAAATCATGAGAGCCAGTGGCTGCTTCTGTGACTTTGGGTTCATTATGCCCTTCCACTCTTTTTAAATGGAAAGTATATATTTACTTGGAATAGTTGAAATAATACAGAAGAGCAGAAAGTAGAATGTGGTATCTCCCACTCCAGCCCTTCAGTTTCATCCTCTGGATGTAACTACTGTGAAGCTCTTTCCAGATGTTTCCCTACATTCACACGGATATATATATATATATATATATATAATAAAAGTTGATATATATAATATAAAATAAAAGTTGATATATATATAAAATAAAAGTTGATTTTACTATACATTATACTTTTATTTTGCTTTCTATGCTCAAAAATATTTCTGACATCCTTCTGAATGAGGTTAGTTTTATACATTTCAATAGTTTTATTTCAAAGTATTCTAGGATATAGACACATCATAAATTATTTTACCCCAAACCTTTAGATTGTCTCCAAACTTTTAAGATCACAAATAATGCTGCAATAAAGAAAATTGCACATAATATCCTTGCACATTTGTGAAAGTACTTCTGAAGGAATAAGTGGCAAGAAACAGAATCGCTGAGGCAATAATTTTGGTTCTTAAAATTTCTGATAGATTCTTCTGAATCACTCTTCAAAACCTTTTTATTGATTTGCAATTCATCAAATTTATGAGAGTTGCAAATTTATTAAATTGATCTCTAATTTTCTTGTGTAGAAATGGGACTAAATTACATTTTTTTTTCTCAAGGTTAACATGAGAATTGGATAAGGTAACACATGTAAAGCCCCAGGCCTGTGTGGGACCAAGAGTGGGTGATTGATAAATCTTCATTCCATCTTTTCACTTCTCCAACTGCTCAGCTCTACTCAGACCACCATGATGGAGTTGTCAGTTATGTCTATTTTTTTCTCTCTACTTTTCATCTAGATTAAATGTACTGTTCACCACACTCTGATAGTCAAATTGACATCAGTACTGAGTTTCTCATTAGTTAGTTTTGGTCCCCACTGTCTTATATTGGTCATTATCCTTTGGTGACATATGGCACCTATCATAATCAGAATCTCAAAGTTTTTAACAGAACGTGGAAGATGTCTACACATTTTTCTTATTGTGATTATTCATTTTCCTGGGTTTTTTTTGGGGGGGTGGTTAAGACATGGAATTCCATTTTGAATGATTCAACATTAAAGTCTCCATATCTACTTGATCTGACCAAAGGCTGTGAAGGTGTCTCTGAGAGATTTGCAGATCCTGGATTCTGGTGTTCTTCATCACCATACCCATGTTACACACTCCTTTCTTGGAGGACTCCAGTGGCACTCTGATATTTCCTTTTCAAAGTGCTCACATTTCCAGTGGCACTACTCTTACTTTCTAGAATTGCATATATCTTCCCAATACTTTCTTTTTTCATGAGGACTTACTTCAAAATGTTGTGTGTTACCTCAATGCTGGGATGAGTTCATCTGAGAACTGAGATATTATACAGGACCATTCAGTAAAGGAGAAATGTCTTTTGCTTCAAATATTTGATGCACTACAACTGATTCCCAGTAGTACAGGTATTCTTAGGGAGCCACCCTGGAAACTCAGAGTCTGGGTCAGCTTTCTAACCATGAGAATTCTGCCCCCAAACCAATTCATGAATGCTTCCTTTCCAATCACTCACTATAGAGACAACTCATTTAAGCTTTGGACAGCATGGAATCCAAATTCCATTTCATTTTATTTGATGTACAGTTCTGTAATGCTTACTCTGTGCAGACTGTTCTGTGTGCTTTACAAATATTTACTCATTTAATCTTTAATGGCTGTCCTATTTTTCTGGCTCCACTCATTAAAGGAAGATAAAGCATTTCTAATACCTTTTCTGTATAACAGTATTCACATACCTTGAAGATAATCACTAGGTCTTTTTCTGAAATTATAGATCCCAGTTTATAAGTCATTCCCCATGCTACTGGGTAGTGAGTTATTTCACCTCCTGATCACTCTTCTGAATGTCCTTTGATTTGATGATGTCTCTTTTAAGACATTTTGGCCCAGATGTGTTTTACTTGGCACAGTGTCTTTTTAATTTGTTTTGCTTTTAAATAAATAAAAACGAAAAAGGAATCTGAATGCCTTTCTGCAGGGCATGCCCTCTCCAGCCCCAAGTTTCCATCAATACTCATTGTCTTAGTTCTAGCTTCACTAAATTTAATCTGCAAAGGGATCAGAGTTTGAGATCTCTGTAAACAAGTCGAGAACTGAACCTAGATGCAATCTGGTCAGCCACCGTCCTGTTAAAGGGGTTTTTAAGGCTATCATGCTATCAACATTGCAGAGCCAGATCTGTCTTAGTCTGTCAACAATTCCTTGCAATGCTGTGGTGGGGAGGAACAGAGGACCAAACCTAAGGCCACCTTATCACTGCGCTTACAGCCCTTTTTTTCTTTTTCTTTCTTTTCTTTTCTTTTGAGGCAGGATTCTCTTCTCAGAATCCTCTCTCTGAGGATCTCTATTTTTTCCTTAATTCTGCAGAAAACTTAATACTGGCTTCACTGTACCAAACTGGTGGTCATACCTATCATCTCCTTAGCCAACAAGATAACTCTCCACTTATCAGGAGCTACGTTCCATAGAAGGCAGCAAGTGACCATAGTAACTGGAGCATGTTTCTTTCCTATTTCTATAAAACCACTTGTTTTGGATCTAGGCAGCAATTTTGGCCCAATTCTCTCTTCTTACAGATGAAAAAAAATTCAGATAAAGAGAGATCATACTAGTTAACTAAGATAACACAATTAATAGAGAGGTGGGCACAGGACCCAGTACTGGGGCTTACCAGGTTTGTATACAAAAATTTGTACTATATGATGTTACTAGAAGCTCTATGTGTACACAAGCGGTCTCTAATTGTAAGTGTGGTAAACCCTGGTGAACAGTATTTTAGATTTGACCTTTTGTACACCAAAGTGGATAACTGAATTCAAGGAAGTTCAATCAAGATGGTGACTGTATGGGAAAGTTCTAAAAAATGCCTGAAATTCCTCTGATTCAGTCTATGGATCTTATCATGTTCTTTATCATGTCCTCACTGGTTTGATGGTTTTCTCTTTTGTTAGTGTCATTGGCCCTGCACATATAGTGTGCATCCTAGAGATTGTACCTAAAAGGACACTGTGTTCCTTTCCCTGCCGAATATTGTTATCAAGAACCTTTGGCTCTTCTGACACAGATCATTTGTAAAATTTATTTTAAAAAAACGTGCAGTGAGCATTTCCAGCTATACTCATATAGGAATCTATTGCACTGATATTACAAAGTGGATTTTAGAGAGGGAAAGACCTTATGAATCATCTAATCTGATCCTCCCCTACTTTTAACCATGAGGAGATTTAGACCTGAAGAGGTCAGCCTTTTGCTAAAAGTCATAGTAGAGCCATTTTGTTTCAGAACCAAGAACAGAACCGAGCTGCCCTAACTCTGGTCACACAACTCAGTACAGCTTTCATGTAAAAGCAAATAAAAAGCCTGTTTCTCAGCATTGTTTTGTTTTTATTGATAGGGAAGGGGATCATGCACCACTTACAGTAATCTCTTAAGATTTTATAATAATCCTTGCATTATCCTGTTAAACTGTTGCTGTAGCTCTGTGCTTAATAGATTGGAATCTATTATTCATAATGCCATCTTGTTCCTGTTCAAATAACACTATCCTTATGACTAAATTTTATGGATTCATACTTAATTTCATAGCAGAGTGAGATGATAAATCATTAGAACAAATAGCTTTCATTTGTGAATTTATTTCAGGAGTATTTTTCAAGTACCTGCTTTGTGCCTGGCACGAGTAGGATTCAGAGGCAATACAGGAATGGATTTTAGGCTCAGATAACTGATATCCTGTTGTGAGTTTTGGAGAGTCCATGAATATCTGGGAAATGAGGCAGTACTGTCCCTCAGGAAGTAGTATAGTGTTATGGACAAGGGTGACAGTGCTGGGTTTGCATCTGGTTCTGTTATTTACTGACTGTGTTCTCTTGGGCAAGTAACTGTGGTCAAGCTCAGTGTTCACATCTGAGAATAAAAATAGCACTTACTTCATTGAGTTATTTTAAAGACTGCATGAAAAGACAAGTCAGAAATCACTTAGCACATGTCTGACACA